CACACTTGGGTATTTATTTTTATATATCCTTATACAAATTTCTTCTAAGATTCTGTCTGCATATTTAGTATGAGTGGAAGTTATTTCACCTTGTTCTGCCATATCTGCATATTCTTCAAAACAAAATGGCCATCATTTTCCTTGCTTTTCTGATTCAGTTTATTTAAAGGCCTAATTTGATGCAATTTAGTGATATATACATCACAATCATAGAAGTCATCATTAAAGAGATACTCTATATCTTCAGATTTAATTAGAATGCCTGTTTCCTCATATGTTTCTCTTAATACTCCTTGAAATAACGTTTTATTAGATTCCACATTTCCGCCTGATACTTGCCACATTTTATACATTTCTTTTCGTGGATTAATTCTTTGTGACATGATAATGTCCTAATGGTCATACATGATATTCATTACATACTTTGGTTGAGCATTATTTTGAACTTCACTTAAAAATACGTCATATTCATCCAAGTTTTCTTCCTCATATTCATCTAAGACTTGGTCTAAGTTTTCTCTTTCATCCACTATTTCCTCTTCAAAAAGAATGTTAAAAGTAGCTTGTTTAGTAACATATGAAATAGAAGCAGTTTGTGTACTAAAGTCAAGATTCATTTTATTTTTTTACACCAATCTACTTCTAATAATAATGTATTCTGTGGCGATTTAATTACTTGAAGTTCTACTGAAACTAATACGTGTTGTATAATTATTCTTGCTTCAGTAATTTGTCCTTATGCTCTTACACGACTTCTATTAGCTGTAGTCACAATTAATTTAGAAGGTTTATCAATATTAAGTCCCAAATTTTTAGCTAACTTGTTAGTAATAATGCTGACAGCTGCTCCTGTATCAATTATAGCTTTAATGGGGTTATTCTTAATCCTAATATATGCTTTGTAGGAAGTTATTTTCTTCCTATTTCATCATCTATGAATTCTAAAGAATTAACACTAGGTGTTGATATAAGATGACGTCTTAAGGCATTTGCTAAATTCCTCCTTTGGGCTGGTATTTGTAACCATTGTTTTAAGGTTGCAGAAGATTGTTTTGATAGGATATCATCAGCTATATTATATGGTGCAAGATTATCAATTCTGAAAGGATTTCATGCTTTTTTAACTGGCTTTTGTTTAGGAGTGGATTCTACTTCTATTTCAATTGAATTAATGATACGAGTTCTAAGATTCATTTCTTTATTCGACTCAGAAGTTCTAGTCATTTCTATTTGTCGTATTCTTGCATTCTTTCTGTTAGAGTATATGGTCGAAACCTTTCTCCTGCATATACTTCAAATGTTTCTTCTTCTTCTTCATCATCAGTAAAAACCTCAATTAAATTAACATTTCTTGGCTTCATTTTGGAAGATCTTTCAAATAAGCATTCCCTAGAATAATGACCTTTTTCCTCACATCGCTAACAAATTACTTGGCTTTTGTCAAAAGGTTTTCTGTCATTATTATTTCTTGTAACATTTGTACTTTTAGGTTGGATATTTGTGGTCCTTGGAGTCCTATTTTGTACTGCTAATACATTGACAATATTCGCATAATTAAGGGAGAGTTGTTCCATTTGCTTTGTTAAAGCTTCAATTGCATTATTATTAGTGACTTGTAGGGATTCTTTCATGTAATATGTTCCCACTTCAGTTGCTCTAGCTTCATTCACAGCTGCTCTAAGATTACCAGGGACTGCCATTGCGACTCTTGCATGTTAGGTTTTAATCCATTTAAAAATAATCTAATTTCGTAATCATGTAGTAAATGATCACCTGGGTCAACTAATCTTTTAAGGTTGTAGAATCTAGTACTGTAAGTATTTATGCTTTCATTTGTCATTTGTTTGATATTGGATAGCTTATAATGCCATTTATTCTTTTGCCTAGCTGTAGTGAAATGAGCTCTAAACATAGGGACAAAACTTGCATTGTCTTGCCCTTATACACTCCAATAACGAATAGTATTTACTATATTATCATACTATAATGCTGCTGGTTCTCTTAAATATCCTGCGACAATACTACGTTTCCTTTTGGGTGTTTAATTATTCGCTGTTGCAGTTATTTCAAAGTGCTTAAGCCATTCCTCTAGGTCTTCGCTATTATTTCTCCAAAATGGTTGTACTTGTATGATATTAGTTTCCTTAGGGTATGCCGGTGGTCAAGCATCTCTAATTTCTTTAGCAATTCCTTTAAAAGAATCACTCATTTGTCTAATAATTGCTGCAATACCATTATCACC